TGCCACCCCGGTAGATCCGCCCCTGCCCCTGTGGTAGTCGGTGTCGTAGCGGAGGTGGTGTTTGAGGGCCGTGAGCAGACCCGTGATGTTCTTATTATTCGTATCTGGTTTGTGAAGCAGAAACATGACTAATTAAACGCTGTTGACATCTGACCTACTGAGCATCAGAGTTAATCAGTGGCTCCATTTGAGTCCCGGCGCCCTGATCCGGCCCGAGTCAATGGGCCGTTTCTAACGCCCGCCTAAATCCTCTGGACATGCTGCGTATGCTAATGAGCAGCGGTGATGACACATAAACATTAACTCACCTGCTGCATTAAGACATACTTAAAAACACATCGGCGTGCGCTCACACACACACACACACACACACGCCCACTCGTCCGGTTCTGTTCTAAATATAACACCGGGCGGATAAACGTGTCCGAAATTCAGGCCCTGCTGCTCTAATCTGGGCCCTGTGCTCATTCTATGTAACCGTTCTTACCTAACGGTTGCATAAGCGCCAGCGGCTTGCTCATGCGGTGAGTAATGGTGGAAGCCCCATTAAGCTGCATCCTTGCGTGTCCTTTAACAAAACAAAAATTTCCACGTGTGCCATGTACACATTTGTTTTTCCTGCTGCATGCAGGCCCGTGTTAGCCTATATTATTTTTACTGCTGTTTGTATTGTTCATGCTGCCAACGTGGCTCTGAAGGAGGAAACGTCTGCAAACTGGAATATCACAACAACTTCATGAAGTTTTGCACAGATGTTAAAGTTACTCCCTGTGACTTTTGAATACCTTCACATCTGTCATAAACTCTTATAAAGACGTTGATGGTTCATGGGGGATCCCTGACTTCACCTCCAGCGTGATGATGAAGCTGACAGTTTTCTGGGGAATGTCTTGACATCTTCTGGATAACCTGCTATTAAAACCGGGCAACGAGGGAAACATGAGATCAAACAGGAGTCTTCTTCACTAAGGAATCAGGAGCTCCAATTTCAAAAAGAGCTGCAGGTGCATCAGTCTTATTTGCAGTTATATTAAAAGCTTGTGCTCCTTGCTTAAGGTGGGTTATTCTGGGCCCTGCATGCTCCAAAGTTCTATCATGTGGCTGCATTCATGTGTGAACCTCCTTCCAGCAGCAGCGGCGGTGAGCGTGGTGGTGGTGGTGGTGTTGTGCGTGGGCGGCTGTTATGAGGTGCTTCCCTCCAGACTTGTGTCAGTCTTTCCACACGCCGGCGTCGCACATCCCCAATGCCATTACACATAATCCAAATAATTCAATGGACGTAAACAAAGCGTGTCAGGAGTTCCTGGTCGCCGTGGAAGCCCCAGGAATGAGATTTGGAAGTTTACAGCATTCCTAGACGGGTTTCTATCGGATTCCGCCGTGCACGAAGGATGGGGCGGCCTCTCTCTCTCTGTGTGTGCAGACACAACAACATAGCCAACACGCCCTGCCTGTGCAGCCTCCCCACCCAAGCCTTAAGGTCTCTGCTCGGTTACTGAAATAGTAACACCGGGCATCACTCAATCACACACACGTATGACAGTTTAGACACAGAAAACACACGTGGAATATTCCGACGAGGGAGCAGGACGGGTGCATTTTAATAAAACAGAGATACCAACCGCTATCTAGCAGTTACACACAAATAAAACAGGATTTATCTTTAGACTCGCCGTCGCTTTAAACACGATGTCACTTGTTGACCTGCTTGTTTTTATTCGGCCATATACACAAGTATTTATGATTCCCCTCATTGCCCTCATTGGTGTTTCCATCATCTTTGTACCTCGAGTAAAGTGTGGACGTGACGCTGAGCCAGTAAACCGTCATAAAGGAATCCAGTCACATCAGCTTCCCAGTTTACTTAATATGGATGTGGGAGTTCTGCCAGTTTGTAGTTACTCATAATCGAGATATAAGTTGATGTAACTTCAAATAAAGAGTTGAAGGAACAGCCGAGTGTTGCGTCGACTCATTAAATTGAGTTTATACGACACCGATAGAGATCTGAAACTCCCCAGACGCTCGTTTTCCTCCAGTTTGGCTCCTTTAATACGAGCCAAATCAAGTTCTGTTTATTTCTTTTCATGATAATCACAATAAGTCAAACTGTGATAAAGATTAGTAGAGAATTCAGCACCTATATCTGTAGATTTATGATATGAAGCATCCTCACATGTTGTCTTTGTGCGGTTAAAAAATAAGATTTGCTTCTGTAGGAGGGATGTCTAAACTCATTCAACCTGATGGTTTAAGGTGAGTAGTAGTATAGTTTTCTCAGGCTCATTCAGCTCAACTAATTAATCAACCTCAGTGCAGTTGATTCACATTTCTACGGCAGCATAATGACTTCTAAAGGGAAGGAACTTATTACAGAAATAAGTGTTTAATCGCTGCCGAGTGAGAACACCGCGTCTCCGTTTCTCACGTTTTCGTCCGCAGTTAGCCGGCTCGTAAAACTCAAAGTTTAAGTTCCCATGGCGTTCCAGTGATTCACAACTGGACCGAGAGCGTAATAAAGGCCTCGTTCGTGAGGCAACAGCAGTCGCAGAAGCAGAAAACAGCTGTTTGTGAGCCTCTAATGGTGATGAGGAACCGGTCGGAATACATCCAGCTCCTCTTCAGACTTATTTATTCCCAGACAGAAGCCTCATCGTATGTAAGGACATGAGCTAGGAAATGTGTTGCCCCAGGGAGATTAATCATTAGACACAATAAGTTTGTTGCGCACACCCTTCTTTCTGCTCCGAGTCGAGAGGCAGGCGTTGGTCTATAAAAGCTGCACCCAGCGGAGGCAAAGAGAGCAAAGCGCAAAACTCTATCAGCAAGCGACAAACACTCACTCACGCCTCAACACACACTCAGATTACAGATTAGCGCAGGACCGTCACACACACAACTCTCTCTTCCTGGGATATGAACCCTCTCGTCCTCACCTGTCTCCTGTGCTTCGGTAAGTCTGGACTTGTGCTTCTCTGTGTGTGTGTGTGCAGATGGTTTGAATCAATGAAGTGGGAAGGAGAGAAATGTTGTGTGTGCAAGTGGAGGCTTGTGAGGCTGGAGATGGATGTTCAGGTGTGTTTACAGGAGAGAATCTGGGACAGAAGCAGCTTCTCGCTTCTCCACAGGCGACGTTTGTTGCAGGTACAGCAGCTCTAGACGCTGCAAAAGGTCAACATATTTCAAATAGTTGATTGTCTTTTGATTGAACGCCATTCACGGCCGGTGCAGTGCAGCTGTGGATGCGGACTGGTTGTACTGGTTTCAGGCTGTTCTCAATATTTGAAGGTGAAATGATGACTCAGAAGCAAACGGGCTGAGATTTCTGTGTTTAATCTCGTTAGAAAGCAAGCGAGGAGTTCCCCGGTGAGGTGGAATTTAAAAAAAATTAATTGAATCAGCTTCTAATTTGATTCATTCTCCTAGAAAATCGTTTCAGCTTCGACAGAATGTTCTCCGTGTTTCCGTACACCGAGATAAAAACCTGTCATCTGACTGCATCAAGTGAACTTTAGCCTAAATTACCTCTTACGGCATTTTTATATCTCTGTGTAAACTTTACATCATCGCTTGTTTTTTTCTTCCTCCCCCTCCTGCTGGTTTTACAGTCGTGTGCAGCGCTCTGGGTGCTCAGGCATCCGAGGCCACAAACTCCACCGAGCTAGCCGGAGTCACTGGGGGTCCGGCCTCCGGCGAGGGCCTCCCGAGCTCGAGGGGCGACGATGACGAGCTGGAGCTAGACGACGAGCTTTCAGGAGGAGACAACGAACACTTCAGCCTCCACGGTACGGAAACCAAAACGCTCTTGTTCTGAAAAATGAGATTTGAATGGAGACGTGAAGAAAGATGAGTTGCCAGGATGAGATTTTAGAAAAGCATGATGACTTGTCTTGACAATCAAACACATTAATATTGTGAATTTTCTCAAAAAACCATCCAGCTGTGTTTAGTTTGAACTTGGAAGAAGCTTTTCTAATAGATTTTTGTCAAGAAAAATGCAGAACAAGAAACCTTTTCTTCTAAAACGGCTTTAGGCAGTTGGTTCATTTCCTTCACTTATTACCCTTAAAGTTTTGTTTAACCATGAATACTGGTGATAACATTTAAATTATGTCAGTATTACACCAAAACACTCAACTAGGAAGCCATAAGGATTCTAAAACGACACCGTAAACCTCTCATACTGTTGCTTCCCTGCTGCAGACTCGCATCCCGGCAAAGATGAGAAGAAGAAGAGGAAGGGCAAAGGCAAGAGGAGGAACAGACACAAGGGCAAAAGCACGACTGCCTTCAACCCCGAGCACACGCTCTACACCAGCAGGTCCACGTCCACGTCCACGCTGAGCGCCGGCGAGGACCCCTGCACCTCCACCTACCTGGGCTACTGCATCCACGGCCACTGCAAGTACATCGAGGGCCTGAAGGAGCCAGTGTGCATGTGAGTGGAGCCCCGGTCGCCTTCGTATGGCCTCCTTAGTGATGCTTGAACCCACTATCGTTACTGATCGGTTACTCTTCCCTCTGCAGATGCATGAAGGGCTACGACGGGGAGCGCTGCGGGATCCAGACTCTGGAGACGGTCAAGAATCAGCCGGACCAGAGCAGCAACGCTCAGCTGGTGCAGACGGTCTTAGTGATCATCGCCGTGGTTCTGTCGGTCATCAGCTGCACCGCCATCCTGCTCATGACCTGCGCTCAGTGAGTTGGAAAATCACAAACACACACACGTTTTGATTTTTAAACCGGCCAGAACCAGACGTTTGTACCGAGCTGTGTTTGTCAGCAGTGGGTGGGAAGCCAGTGAGGGATCTCAGAGTAAACTGGTGTAATTTCTCCAACACAGGTCTCGGTTTAGTCCAGACTGTGAACTCAGCAGCCAGAGACCAAAAAGAAAAAACTGTAAAAAGTTATCGTACAATCCAAAATCAAACCGAATACATCAGATAATATTGTGTTTGGTTAAATATTTAAAACGGAAAGTAAAAAGAAAGACAATGTTCTTTACTTGTTCTTGAATCAGATCCTGAATCACTTCAGATCAGTTGATATAAAACTGCTTTACTTACTTATTTAATCGTGCTTATTTAACCTGTGTGTCCACTTAACCTTTACTGACTCATTTTTGGCCCATTTTTTATTTGATTTTTGATTTTTTCAGTCTTAATCTTTAAATCAAAAAAAGGAAAGACTTCCTTAATACTTTATCCTGTTTCCCAAAATGGTATTTGTTTGTTGAAGGAGAAATAGTTGTTCTTTTTGAGAAGATCTGCGTTAATCAAAAGTGAGTCACAGTGATCGTTCAGCATCTGTATCTACTGACTTTAACACATTTTTAAACCATTCGGTCCAAACACATGTATGTTTCCATTAAGTTAAAGTTGGGAATCATACTTCCCAACACGCCGGTGATCAGCGTTTCCTCTCTGAAGCCAGAACGGCGTTAAGTCGAGACCTGATGCCAGCGGTTTCGAACGAAAGTCCTCTTATTCATCTTTACTCTATAAAACCATTATAAGTAAGATTAATGAAGAAACCATCCACACCCCATGAATCCCAACATAACACACATTACGATCGGCGCACATCCTGCCCAGAAACACTTCTTGGCAAATGGACTCACTGACACATCAAAAGGCGCATGAACACGCCCAGACACACCCACGCCGCCGAGGCGTTGCTCACCGGCCTCGCAGCATCGATTCAGACGCGTCCACAGCTTTTGTTCTTACTTTTTATTGTAGTAAAATCTACAATTTGCTTTCCTTTTAACTGCATCACTTCACCTACTTCACGGTGACGTCGGGTCATTTCCTGCACAATCACAGCTCCAGCTTATCAATGTGTGACCCAATCACAGCTATTGTTTGGCTGGTGGACAAAGTCAATAGTCCAACATAGTGCAAATATAGGAGTCAGCTGTGCAATTAAAGCGTTACAGCCCCGACTAGTCAGAAACACAGGTGAAGAGAAAGTAAAATGTATTAAGTTTGGAACAGGGTTCATTATATTACGATGTACTTTGTACTCAACACACAACAAAAACACCGTTTGTCTTTATGCTGCTGCACTCTGGGAATCACTATTGTCCGCTCTGATGCTCATCTCGAATGTCTTTTGTAGTTACAGGTCGCACAAAAACTTCCTGGCGTCCTACCTGGGAACCGGGTCGGAGCAGGAGAAGCTGCAGAAGCCCGTCGGTGACGTGGTGTGAGCGCGTCGAGTTACCTGGAGGTGGGTGTTGCTGAGGTTCTGACCTACTTGTGACAGCACGAAAACAAAGTCCTTTATGGAGCTCGGCGTTTACTGCGGTCCAAACTGCATCAAAACAACTCGATGAGTGTTACCTCTCTGGGGCAAATGTTAGAAAAGAAAAATCCCCGTTTACAACTCGGACAAGCTTCATGTGAGCCTCTGCTGTGTCAGAGTTAGCAGCTCCATCCTGCACTGTTGGATTTAGACAGTTTTACACTCCAACAAGCCCAGATAAACACGTTGTTCTATAGCTTTACATTCAGCTGACACATCAGTTAGTCGCCACAGAAAAACAGAAGTCTGAGGACTGATTACAGAATAATGATAAATAATGAATGATAATAGATTAAAGACCCTGTACAGAAGTGTTCTTTCAAAATAAGACAATCTGAATCACTACAAATTAAGTCCATGAGTCAAAACCTACATTAACTGTGAACTATATCTGTTAAAATCTGCTTCCTTTGTGACTGAGGAAAACCCAACGGCTAGAAATAAGAAGCCTGCTCGTGTTTGACTCTAAAACCATTGCTTTGGGAGTTGTTCTGACTTAGCAGTGAGCTGTGCATGGGCTCAACAGTAACTAAGGTTAAAGGGCAAAGCAAGCAGGAGGTCCCAAAATGAAACCAAACCGATGCCTCGTTAATGCCATCTGCTCAAAGCAAAATGCGATGCCGTAAGAGTCGAACGTAAGCGTTCGTTTCCGGCGGTGATGGACGTCTTGCTTAAGCCCTCGACGTCTAGCTCACGTGAAGCCAAACAGGAAGGAGTGGGCTCGCAGGGTGATGGAAGAGCCCTGTTGTTGTTGTTATTGAACGCAGCGGGTTGCATCACCCGAAGAGGAATCCCCACTACGGGCATTAGCGCGGATTAGCGGACGATTGTCTCGACCTGTCCCATCTCCGCGCCGCATTCCAGCGTAAAGGAAAAAAACCACACGCTCGGTCGCACACCTTCACCTGTGTGTCCACACAATAGCAGTACTGACACACTGACTGCACACGTGATGACCGTAGCGTAAGAACTTAAGCTCTGCGCTTACATGCGGTCAGATCTCACTGAGCAAACGCACGCACACTCGCATGCGGACGTCACGTGTTGAGGAGACGGCATCTCGGCCTCGAGACAAACAACGTGGCCACGCGGCGGTCTCTTTAGTACGTCACTGACAGTCCGGTCTGCTGAAGAAAGACTGAAAGAGTGTTAGTTTTTAGCTGTAATTCCCATTGGTCCTAATCTACAGCTACATTATGCTTGTTAGGAATATTTTTTATTAATGTATGTTAAAAATCTTTTTTTTCATAGTTGTGGCCATTTAAAAAAAAACAAATCTAACTTAGTTTATTATGAGCACAAGAATTAGCGTTTAAAAGGTAAAATTCTACCTTTTCATTTTAATGTTTTACGTCATATTTTTTGCATTTTTTCTCTCTAAAGGATTTAAAAGCAGATTTGTCATCTACAAACTACGAGGCAGCCTTCTGGAAACTTAACACACTTCACTTCTAAGATCTAAACACCAACTGTTGTAAAACAAACAGAGAAAAAAAGCAAATCAGACTGAAATTTAAATGGGATTGTCTCTTTTTTTTTTTTATAACAAATACAAACATACAACTTCAAAATATTTCCTGCCTGAATGATTTTTGCAGACCAACCATAAACTGTGTATTTTTAAACATTCCCTGCAGTTATTTTAAGCTGTGTGTCTGGTTTTTCTATTTTTACTCATTTATTTATTTCCGTCTTTCCGCAGCCTGTTGACTCAAAGCCGAAGCCGATCAGAGGAGTCTGAGCTCCTGAGAACGCTTCAGAGCGACTGGACGCCTTCACTACCGTAGATGCTATGTAAAAAACACTGTCCAGAACCTGTTAGAATGTAATTTATTTAGTGTAATTATTTATTGCTAACAACTGTATTTGTATGTTGGACTACTATTATAATGTCTTTTTTTGTTTTTGTGCGAATGCTGAGCATTCGGCCTTTTGATGTTCTCTAGGTTTGGTTTTATTTATTGCACTGCTATTGTCATAGGTCAGAGAAACGCTGTTCATCTCGCTCTGGAAAAGGGATGGAATTAGATCACCAATAAAGTCTCTCAGTGTTACGTGCTGTTTGTTGGTGTCTCTCTGAGTTTCTGTGTTTACATTCCCATCTCTGGACGCATCTCATACCTCAGCAACAAGCTCACACAAACACCGCAGCCTTTCAGCCAAACACAGATTCAACAGACAAGAATAATCATGAGAGAGGCTCTGAGAAAACTATCCGACACCGCTGAGGAATCCAGATAACGATGAGCGCACAGCAAAATACATGAGAGAGTGGAAAGTTGTTGTAGGTGTGTGCAGGAGTGTGTGACGAGCTGGACCACATTCAGATAAATAAAATAACACTGCAGTGCTCGATTCTTGGAAAATAAACCGCTGCACTGTATTTTCCAGAAAACATTTCTGTGCAGCGATGTCCAACGCTTGTGAGTTGGTAGAAGATGCACTCCTGCAGCGGGGGCGTGTCTGCTCTGAGCTATTTCGGGAATGCTCGGGTAAATCTCTGAACACAAATTCAAACAAAGACTTGAAGATAATTATACGGTTCAGGACAAAGGAGCTCAGAATAGACTGTGTACCAAAAGGGCAGCGGGTTTGTTTCAAAGTGCAGCAATCAGGAGACGCTGGTGTCAAAAAAGAGGGAAAAGAAAAGACGTTGCACGAAGCTGAGAAGATCACGAGATACTAACCCTAATGTTGAGTTATAAAGAAGAGTGTTAATAACCAAACCAGCTTCTGGTCTCCAGGAATCACGTCCTGGAGTTGTAAGGAGGTGGTGACCCGAAACACTTTAGATGGTTAGAGTATTATCCAGAACCAGAACCAGAACCAGAACCGTCTGAGTGGTTTCAAACTGACTCTGCAGACGAGAGTCCGTACAAACAGCCAGAGCTGTAAAAAAAAAAGACTAACTTCTGATCTCAACATCACAGACTCAGCATAAGATTACAGACATAAGAACCTGAGACAGCCGGAGTTCACAGACAAACTGTGTCAAGTTCTCAAAGACACTTGAACTACTGATCTGCAAAAAACTGTGCAAAGTTCAGAGCTGAACAAGGCTGACAGTATGTGAAGAAGGAGTGATTGTGAATGCATGGCGGTGCTGCTGTGAGAGTTTAAAGGAACTTTGACATTTTGGGTATTACACATGTTTGTTTGTCTTACTGTGAGTTAAATGAGAAGATTACAAATATGTGAATCTGCCTAGAGCAGGCTGTCCTCGATAAGTGAGTGACTTGACAGAAAAAAGAGACTAGTGAGGGAGGCCACCGAGACTCCTATGACTCCTCTGAAGGAGGTACAAGAAGGAGACTAGTGAAGGAGGCCATCAAGACTCCTATGACTCCTCTGAAGGAGGTACAAGAAGGAGACTAGTAAAGGAGGCCACCGAGACTCCTATGACTCCTCTGAAGGAGGTACAAGAAGGAGACTAGTGAAGGAGGCCACCAAGACTCCTATGACTCCTCTGAAGGAGGTACAAGAAGGAGACTAGTAAAGGAGGCCACCAAGACTCCTATGACTCCTCTGAAGGAGGTACAAGAAGGAGACTAGTGAAGGAGGCCACCAAGACTCCTATGACTCCTCTGCAGGAGTTACAAGCTTGAGATGAGCTGAGATGTTAGACGGTTGCATGTTCTTCACCAGTCAGAGCTTTATGTAGTGGTGGTGAAGAGAAAGGCCCTCATAATAAACCCCAACAAGAATTCACCGGTAGACATGTGGGAGCTCTGGAAGACGGTTCTTTGAACTGATGAGACCAACATTGAGCTCTCAAAGGCAAGACTCTGCGTTTGGCTTTAACGATACGCTGCACACCATCACAGACGCTCCACCCCCACTGTGAAGCACGGCGGTGGCAGCATCATGTGGTCGGGATGCTTCTCAGCAGCAGGTTCTGGAGAGTTTCTGAAGGTAGAGGGTAAAATAAATGCATCAAAGTAAAGGGGAAATCAAGCCTGGAGGACGACCCAACGCAACCTGCAAGAGAACCACGACTTGGTAGATCTGTTAAGACAGCAAGGTGCGGTTTTGGGGCGGCCGAGTCACAGCCCAGACTCCAGTCCGAGTAAGGACTTGTGGCTGACTTGAAAAGGGTCATTCACTCATGATCCCTTTGCAACTTGACAAAACTTGATCCGTTTTTTAGAGAAGAATGAGGCTGATTTATCCACACAGGCTCAGTGCTGTCATAGCAACCAAAGGCAATCCCTCATTCTACATTTTATACGGAGTCTTTATAGGTCAACTGAAATGATTCAGGCAATAAAAGGGGAAAACTTCCAGGGCGGGGGAATCCTTTTCACATGACACAGGATATGTGTTTGTATTTCAATTTGCATATAAAGTTTCTGACACGCCTGACGGGATTTAGCAGTTTCCAGTTACCTTCAGTAAACAAAGTTTCACTCTGTGTTTGTGCGCGGCGTTGCGTCACCGGCGACAGGAAGGTGAGGCGAGGTGGGCAGCTCGTCCAACACACACACACACAGGTGATGCAAGTCAAGGTAAACATTCGCTGTAAAGCTGTGCGTGTTTGCGCGCGTCTGCCACCAGCCATCCCTGCGGTAGAAATGGCTCTTTAAACACGCCGAAAACATTCACAAACGCTCGTGCATTCATCCATTTGACAAAATAAGTTAATATGGGTGTGGTGAGCTTTGATAGTTTCGGTGGCGTGAGGTGGGCCCGTGCGCTTTTGTGGGTGTCCATGGAAACAGAGTAAACACGCCGGCAGATGGCTGGTCAGTGATAATTCACTTAAGGACATGCAGGAATGTCGTGGGTGTGGTAACGTTTTTTTTTCCCTTTACCTTTACAAGGCAGCAGGCCAGTTGCCAAGGTAAGTATTTTTTTATTTTCCTTTGTTTGTAATTTTAATTTCCAACACAGACTTCCAGTTCAGCAAAATAACAGCAGTCGTCAAGCAGGTTGTATTAAAGCCGGGCTGTGGAGGCAGAGGGGCGGCAGAGTTTGCTGGTTCACCGCTCTGGTCCACAGTGAAAGATCTGAATGACTGTTGGATGGATTGCTGGTTTTTCTTTTACACACACTCAGACTTCCCAGATGACCTCTGACAGTCTTTCCTCTGGCAGCATCGTTAGCTTAAAAGTTAAAAAAGAACCAAAAAGTGAGTTTAGAACCAATCATTTGCAAAAACTCTGACACTCCCACCGTCCTCAGCTGTAGATTGTGCTTTTTAGCAAATGGGCCCAAGTAAAACCTCACTGATCACGGTCGTACACTCCTAGTTCCCTTTTTAATATGCAGTACCGTTGTCTGTCTGTCCACTCGTCCATCTGTCCCATTCTCAGGATATCTCAGGAAGGCTTTTACAGAATTTATTACAATCGGATTGCAAATGTTCATCTTGACCTAAACTAAGTAGATTTGGAGGGTAAGGACATTGTAGGCTCACAGTAGGGGGTAGAGTGGGTTCTCCACTAGTCACAGGGTTGCCAGTTTGATCCACATTCCCTCCATATATTGAAGCATCCTTGAACAATACACTGAACCTAAAGGAATCCCACCTGATGGCGCAGCAGCTTCATCACTCTGATTACTTCTAAGGCAGAAAACCGCTACAAGACTATTTACCAGACTCCAACCTGATTAAAGCGACCTCACAGACCACGTCTTTGACCATAGCTTAAGAATTTATGCTATTATTATGACAAAATGTGAATAATATTATGACAAAATGTCATAATAATAGATGCTAATAGATGTCACACAAACGTCCAAAGTGATGAACTGATGAGATTTTATATCCAAAAGGTCAAAGGTCAGCATCACCTGGTATCATGATAGTCACCAAAACAACCCAGGAACTGAAGAGGGGATTGTGATCATACTTTACAGTTGATCAAATACTACTACTGGTGAGTTTAGAGATCATCTGTGCTGCCGGATTTAAACTTTGTGTGAAGCGTTAAGATTTCATGATTCGTAGAGTCTTAGCATCTATATTTAAGGCATCGGCGAACATCACGGCTGCAAGGTGTCTCAGTGGTTAGCACCGTGGCCTCACAGCTAGAAGGTCACTGGTTCACATCCCGGTGAGGACACCCGGGATCTTTCTGCGTGGAGTCTCCATGTTCTCCCCGTGCAGCGTGGGTTCTCTCCGGGTTCTCCGGCTTCCTCCCACAGTCCACAAACATGCTGAGGTTAATTGGTGATTGTAAATTGTCCGTAGGTGTGAATGTGAGTGTGCTTGGTTGTCTGTCTCTAAGTGTAGCCCTGTGATAGACTGGTTACCTGTCCAGGTGAACCTGCCTTCACCCTGAGTCAGCTGGGATAGACTCCAGCCCCCCATGACCCTGGTGAGGAGACAATGGATGGATGGATTGTCTACTGTCAGGGCTACAACTTCAAGTTTGATCAGAATAAAGCTTTATTCACCAAGCATGTAAACACAACATTCAACATTTTTTGTTTCTCTCAATGAACTGAAATATATCCGTCCAACCTACATGTATCATATGAGCTTGGACTAGACAACGTTGATGACAATAATCCTAGCGCTATTTCAGTTCAATTAAATGGTCATTAAAAACGTTGGAAGCCGCGGGTGTAGAGTTTTGTTTTTGTAGTAGATATGCTGTTAACTTACGGCATCGTTTTTGTCTCAGAGGTCGTCAGTCTTACATGATTTGTGCCGTTTTCATTGAAGTATTGTACAGTCATAACAGTCCAGAGGGATAGTTTATCTGCCTCTTATTAACAGAACCAGTTGGTATTTTTAGTTTCACCTTAAGCAGGGACACTGTATGGACTCTGTTGACTCCACCTGCAGCACTAACTACAGCAGACAGCACCACCTAGTGACACAGTGTGAAAACTGAGCCTCGGTGCCACAATAAAAACTGTGTGTACAGAAGCAATTAGCAGGTCGACATGATTACGGTGTGACGCAACCAAACCAAAAGAATTTAAAGTGGGGAGCAAATATTGCGGAGCGCCAAATGGGCTGCTGTCAGCTCACAGGAATGAAAGAACAACAGCGTTTAAGATAAGAGACGCTCGTGATTAATGCTTTCTCAGATGCTCCTGATGACAAACATTTCCCCTTCATTCTGATTTCATGACACGTCTGATGTGGATTTACTGTTAATGTCTCATGCAGTATTTGAATAAAGTCTGTTGTGCAACACTCTGACATGCTGCACGCTTCCTGTTTGGGGTCGCCGTGCGAATTAGTTGTTTGTGGTCTGATCTGAGTAAGAACTTTTTTTTTTTACTGTTATTATCTTAAAAGTCACCGTTCTCTGTGTTGACTTGACTGTAGTCGTCTCACAAGGGGAGGCCTTTTACAATAACACATCTAAAGAATAGGACGAACACACAACAAATGTTAAGTTTGCTGAGACGTGACAGGCTTTTAATTTGAACACTGATCTGCCTGCGATGCCCTAAAGATGTGAAATAATTAGGAGCTACTGTCATGACGAGGCATTTTGAAACAGATATAATGCAAATATCAAAAGAGAAAAAGAAACACAGGGCGACTTGTTTTTAGTTTTGTCTTTATAACAGCAGAAAACGCCTTTATTTTGAAATTTCCAAGCAGAAATAGCAAATATCAAAAAATATTTCACAAGCTCAGAGCCAAAACTTTAAGCTTCTGGTGCAGGAAGTCGTGAATCTGTTTGGTTGGAAGGTTGAATGATCTCACTTTTGCTTTTACGTCAATATTGAATAAAATCCTCTTTGACTTTGACTCATTTTACTGCAGCAGAGGAAGTCCTGCCGCAACAAGCAGGAGCTCTCCTACCCTGGTGGTACTTTCAGGAGACGGAGAAACAATAGAGAGCGTATTTAGATTTTTACACAAGCAGAAAACCAAACTGACTTCTGGCTGTGTAACACCGTCAGACTCTGCTGTCGTGGATGCGCTTGTGATTCTGAAACAGCGTCAAAGCAATAGATACACAAACCTATAATGCTAATGGATAAATGGCTCAAGTGTACAGTTTGGTAGCGATGGCAGATTTACCATTAAAACTTATAGTGCTAGCTGCTGCAAACTAAACTCAAACCGGCCTCCGATCCGTCTACCTCAGCCCACACTAGCTCCCCATCGTTTGTTTGATCCACTTGAGCTGTTTCTTGGAGAGGAAGGAGTACACTCCGGTTTCCTTCGTGTCGCCACACTTGCCTCCAAAAGAAGTGACTCCGACCAGCTGTCCGTTGCACAGAAACGGGCCTCCTGAATCCCCCTGAAGGGAAAACAGCCAACACGTGGTCAGGATGTGAAGCTGACAGACTGACGAAAACCCAGACAAATGAAAGCTCACCTGGCAGGTGTCGGCCTTCGTGTTCCCAGTTGAACCAGCGCATATCATGCCGCCGGTGATGGCAGGTTTGCCGTTGTAATGTTTGGGAGAGTTGCAGTCCGCTCTGCTGATCACCGTCACGTTGACGGCCATCAGGACAGCCGACATCTTCTGGTTTTTTTTCTTCTCTTTGGTTCCTCCCCATCCGGCCACCAGGCAGCGGCTGCCGGCCGCCGGGTCCTTGACGACTTGCCCCAGTTTGAGACTTTTCACCCACTTGGTTGTGGTCACTGGTGTCTGGAGCTGAAATATGAAGAGAAATCAACGATTCCAATCCAGATGTTTGCAGCTTTCCTTCAGTCACCGTTAGTTGTCGTAATGGCGTCTTACCTCGAGCAGCATGAGGTCGTTGACCTTCGTTCCTTTATTGTACTGTGGATGAGGAACGCTTTTCTTCACCTTACTGACCTGCCTGGACTCTTTCTCCTTTTTTTTGATGGCGTGCACCCCCAGCAGCACTTCCTTAATACTGAAGGAACAAAAACACAGCGTAGTGTGGGGTTACGGCTCACTTATGATGAAGGCTAACAGGCCAACATAGATAAAGTAGTTATCAGACTCATATGTGATAATAAAGGTCAGGGTTTGGCTTTAACTGAGAGGCTTCAGTGTTCAATGACTCTTGTGTGGTTTTCATATCAAACTTTACAGTGTTGACTCTCCCAGAATTAAATTCATACCTCACCTGCTTTAGTGTCCTACAGCAGGGATTCAGCTCTGATTTTTCCTTTTACCTCCTTTAGGCTTTTTTTTAAATGTGTTTTTTTTTATTAATTCTAAAGATCTGTAAAAAGTAAACAGGACCAGAGTGGAGACTAGTTTTAAAAATCACCTGCAGCTCACTAGTGGTTCTTATTGTTTTAGGGAAAAATAGAATAGAATAGAATGCCTTTATTGTCACTATACACAAGTACAATGAGATTAAGAGCAGCCAGATGCCTGATGTGACCAATCAAGATCCACATTTTGCTGTCCTGTGGTTTTTGTGTTTTCTTTTTAAAGTGAATAAAAGATGTTTCTGGATGTTGCATCGTCTTTCCGCCTTTCCATCTGTCGAACTGCTGCATTTATAAATAATTGAAATGCCTTTTAAGTTTTGATGTGCAGAAAGATAAATGCTGGATCCTGTGAATGTGCACATTTAGTTTTTTTTCTTGTTCCGTTGCAGGAACCGTTGCAGCAGCTCAACTACACGGTTGTGCAGAAGGTCAGACAATGAAAACTGTTCTGCCTTTTTAAAACTGAATAAGGTTTTTTTCTACTAAAAACGTAAATATTGCAATTTTAAATAACGCAATCCTTGATGTAATCGGTTAAAAATAAACACTGCATACTACAGATTAAGAAACAGGTTCCTACCCGACACAGTGGGCAGCAGTCAGGACCCATTTGGGATCGATCAGCGTCCCTCCACACACCGGTTTCCTTGTCTTCAGCAGAGCCATGTAAGGCATCGAGTGTGGCGGCACTTCTTTGCCTCCAATAATCTCAGAGGCATGTCCAGCTGATTGATTCAACAAAAAGAGCAGATAGATGACTCAGGAGTTGGTTCACCAAACGCACAGAAGTCTGCAGCAGCTGCACTGAACTAGCATGACTTTGCATTCTGCATGTTTGCATGAATTAATTAATAAGTAAAAAAACAAACACTCACTGGACTGGACAACGAGGAGAAACCCACACGAGATGAGAAGATTCTTCAGGAGCGACATGTCTTCTGATCTCTCTCTTTGATGCGAATGCACTGAAAGCTGCTGTGATGCTTGTTTTTTTATGTGTTAAGCTCAAAGGATGTGGTCTGACATTGAAAAAGCATGAGTCAGCACAATGGACAGGCTCACTCACACACGACATGAGAACCGGTGAGAATTTCTGTCTGTGGTTGCATTTATCAGCAATTGGAACCACTGTACGCCTAATTGCCCCTCGGAGATAAATAAAGTTATTTCTGGTTCTGATTCTGATTCAGCTCTTGTGTGGTCGAGACTCTTTATACGTGTTCACGTCATCGCTAGGTGCAGACAGCGAGGTGAGAAATGAGCAGGTGGAGACGGCGTTTCTAATAATGTCACGCTAGACAAACATGTCATCAGTCTGGTGGAGGTAAAGGGGCTGTTGCTTGATGATATGAATGTTAATATATGAGGGGAAAGTATATGAACCTTTTATTAGAGCTGTTATGGACAAAAAGGGTGTTTGAAGTAATAAGAAACAGCTCCTTTGTGACCTGATTGGACACAACTATTAAACACTCTAATAAAAAATATCTGAACTCATGAATTTAACAGTCTCAGCAGTTGTCCCAAGCATGCATTTCTGCAGACACGCTGGCGACCAGATATTTAAATGCTGCTACATCTGCTGACTTCCCTCTGGCCTCTTTTTGGAGGATGATCGTCTCTGTCGGCATGTTTCAGGTCTTCTGAGCCTCTCTGAGTGCCGACATGAGCTCCACTTGGACAGAATCTGACCATCAGTGCAGCTGGATACCAACCCTCTGGACCGGCAGTCAATTTATTTATACTCCTGTAAATAAATGCATTCTATTGTTGCATCTAAATGCTCCCATTTTTACACAGATTTGTTTTTGGGTGTCCAGTTACTCGTCATGTTCCCCTGGATGGGAAGTAAAAGTCTGTCAAAGCTGAGAAAATTGTACTTTTTGAATGCTGTAAAAGTCATTTCTCTCCCCTGTCTTCCTTTAAAATGCATATTTTTGCTTTCTTGCTTGTCTTTAACACCAAACACTACATTCAGATACGATCTTTATTTCCCCGTCCACTCTTATGACAGCTGACCTTTGGCCTCCCAGAGGTCACTGAAGCCAAAACGGTGCAAAAAAAGTTTCAAATGTGTTCAAATTACTGAAGAGAGTGTAATGGGACACGATAGAAACTTCATTAAAATACTACTAGTGGCCTGTAAGAAGATAGAGCCGCCCTCAACGGACAAAAGGTTGATGATTATTGAGGAAATCCATACATTGGAAAAACTAACCCACAAACTACGACTACAGGACGGACAAACAGACAGTAAATGGAATAAACGGACTGAATACAAGAGCCGAGATGGTGGAAGGACGGTTTCATGAAGTGAGACGGTGCTGAAGCTTCCAGCTTCGGCCTCTCCAGGTTGAATGAAAACTCAACTGAGACCTTCTGCTCTCACTCGATGTGCAGCTACGACGGTGACATAAAAAGTGTTTCTACAACAACAGGTCTCTGGTTTCAGGAGGTAAACAGAAGCAGGCTTTCATTTCTCAGTGGCCAGTTCAGCCCTCCAGTGGGTTGAGGAGTGAGAGGCTTGATGCTCATGTTTCCAGTTTATGAACCAATAATCCTCTAAAAGACTCTTAAAGATGTAGAATCGCTTTATTTTATTCTAACATGTACCGAA